CTTTCATTGATCAAATACATGAAGCAAACGATCTGTAAATCGCACTTGAGTACACAACACAGTCTCATGATGGAAGAAGCATTAATTCAAGGTAGAGTGGAAATAGTGGTGACGAAAAGGAACAGAAGTAGTACACTACTGGTCTTGTCTGTCATCTTTGAAATGTTGAAGTTACTAGTTAGGCTCGGTTTGATATGTAGTCCTGGGTACGAGTTACTGACAAGAAGTTGTACTCACGCTCATAAATATGAGATATCGGTTGATCAATGATGTGAAATAGACCAACTAATGGTAATGGGTGTGCTTATTTCGCCTTTCTTTTCTAGAACTTTTTATCGACTTTGGTTGTTTGGTTTTGGTGATAGTTAAATTGATTCATTGTGAGATACATATGTATAATATTAAACATGTAATTAGGAAAATCAGTTTATTGTGATTTTCATCATTTGGTTTTGTGATGATTATCTGAGTATTTAAATAAATTGTATTGCTTAACTCAAAATATCACTTTTGTCTTTTGTCTTTAATATCAAAAAGTTATAAATATAGTTGGAATAAACACAGTAATCTCACTCAAACTATATTAACAATCTCATCTAAAAAGCGATAATTTGTGTGACATCAAACAAAAAATATTTGAATTATTTGTGTAAGACCCCGTAGGCTAAGGAGCAAAAGGAGGAATCTGCCTGAGGAGGGCTCGAGTATGATTAGCTACTTGGCGAGGTTATAGATTACCAAGGCGATGATCAGTAGCTTGTCCGAAAGGATGATCAGAATAAATAAAAAATAATGCATTATGAACAATACAAACATTATAACAATCTCAATCAAATTATCACGCAAAACAAAACAACCCCTATAAGTGTATGTCAAAACAAACACATTTTTGCCGATCTTTCTCAAGTTTTACTAAAAACTAGGGGTCGCAAGTTTAACCACGCACTTGAGGAGGACGATGAGCAATATCGGTTGGGTAGGTTGGGGGAATCAGAAACCTACACGTAGTTTTCTACCGGCCACTCTGTTTGATATTATAAGTTTATTTTCTATTCAAATGATAAATAATGATATGAGGTTGCCAGTGGCGGATCCAGGAAATTTTTATAGGGGTGTCTTCTCCCAAAAATTAAATTTTAATTAAAAATTAAATTAAATTATTCATAAATCAAATAAATATCCGACTAGTGCAAATATACCATATTAGACAATGATTCCCGAACTGATTGCATATTCGATTTTTAACCTTGTTCCTGATGTAACTCAAACTTGAAAGACTCTTTCAACTCTTATACTATACCTATAAAATCAATTCAAATTAATGATAGCTCGAATGAGTTTAATTGTTAAGTTTTGAAAATAATTGGGAAGAAAGAATAGTGTTTTTTTTACTATAACATAGTGTTTAAAATAAAACAACAAATGAGTTGCAACCTAGAGAATATGTTTAATAATAGTAGTGTCATAGGTTTGAATAACACAGACTACTACTTGTATATTTTTAATCATACGCAAACTACTACCGAGAACATGATTATCTTTTTTATTCATACGAAACTACTACCAGAAGTTGGATAATCGTTTCCCCAAATTTTAGGGGTGTCCCGGGACACCCCTAAAGGCCCATGTATTCGCCACTGGAGGTAGCGGTTTTAGTGATTTGGCGAGTTGGATATAAAATTTTTCGGGTTAAAATAAGATGATTGGGCATTTCTATTAACCACGTATGCAAAATTTGACGTTGTTAAGGGAGACTAACTGAAAGTAACAGAGAGTGATCAAACTTGAAATATTTACCGTGAGCACGAATAAAATAAAATATTTTTAATCACAAAATGTGAATTTTTTTTAGTAATCTCAAATTCCAAATAACCAAACTTTTAATGTATCTATACCGACCAAAAAAATTTTAATTTATCTATTATTTACCGTCATCATAGTGGAGAAGGCAAGTTTAGGCTTCATTGCTGATGTTAATTTTTTTAGTAATCTCAAATTTCCAATATCAAATACTAAAATCCCGAATATTGAATTACGTCCTGAAATCAATCTCAATCTCAATCTCTAAATAATTTTGGTATCCCAATCCCTAAATATTTCTGTATCCCAATCGGTATTATCAAATACAAAATTAATTACCTTTGCAATTAATAATTAAATATATAAATTAGATTTTATTGTTTAATTTAGGGCAAAGAGACTAATCAAAGAGCCTTATGGGCCGTTTACTTGCCATTCCATTTCTGTTAGCTGCCACAACAGAAAACAAAACTAAAATGAAAACGAAGTTGTCGTTTTCTGAGAAACAAAACCTGAAAATACCTTGTTTAGCTGAGACTTTTTATAAGTTCAGAAACTGAATCTTAAAAACGAAAACCTGTTTAGTTACTTCATTACTGTTTTCTGATAATTGATTATCATAATTTTATTCATTGAGTATCATACAACCCTAATTATTATCATCATTTTTAATTCGAATTATATAGTTTTTAAACTACAAATAAACAAAATACAAAGCATCACAACAATTCGCAATTGCTTGTGCTTCAATCCGTCCATGTTCATCCCCCTATATCACCACAATCCATACCTGTCACCATTGTTGAGTTCCACAGACATCATTAATCCATAATTTAGCCAAACAAACAATTAAAAAAGCCTTGACCTTTTGGCTTTTGGTTCCAGGTAAACAAGAAGGTAAAGTGGCCCTCTCTCGATGATGGGGCCGGAGTTGGTTGGTCGTTGATGGCAGCGCGGGGGCTGGCAAGGAAGAAAGATGATGGCGTCGCGGGAATGAGAGGAAGATGAGGGGTGGTGGTCTGGGCAGATGACGGCGGCGCGGCAGGGGTGGTGGTCTCGATCGTCTCTTCGCCTCATGAAACTACGCACATAAGGGATGGAAATCGACGCCGTTCGAGTTTCCAAGAAGAGGGAAGAAGCTTGGCGTCGGCAGGAGGAGGGAAGAGGCTCAGTGCCGGATGAAAGCTTGGTCGCCGGCTGGAGCTTTGCACGGAAAAAGATTGAAGGGAGAGGTAAGTGGAGGGAGGTGAGAAGGCGAAACGACGTAGGATTCCGCTAGCGGAAGTGTGGAACAAAAGAAAAAAAATTGCGGCTGGTGGGATTCGAACGTGGGTGCTCATTTAAGCACAGTGTCGTTTTTCCGCTAGGAAACGGACACAAACCCGTCCCACATAATTCAGGAAACGGGAAATTATCGTTTTCTCCCATCTAGCTCATTTGTGTAAAATGATTCTTCCAACGAAAACGAAATTACTAAGCGAACACTTTTTTTTACAATTTGATTCCAGATTTTCATTGACACAACAAAAAACAGAAAACAAAATGGGAAGTGAACGGGGCATTAAGTTGCCTAGAGCTAACATCTCAAGTTTTTGTAATTGGTAATCTTTAATTTGATGAATTTGAGGTTGAGAGACCAGACGACTAATACTAGTGTGAAATAGTAACGTAATGATCTATGTACAATTAAATGACACTCTTGGTGGTTGAGGGCCGTGTAGTAGTGAATGAGAGAGTCTAGTTGAGAGGATAAAATACACACTAGCTTATATTTCGGTATTGATCGGTATTTCAATACATACCGATCCCAATCCCGTAATCCCTAATACCGATTAACAATTGAAACTTAATCTCAATCCCAATCCCACGAAATAATACGTGTATTCGGTAATACCAAATATAGACAAATTCGGTACGGTATTCGATATATCCCAAACACCGATACCAAACTTCTAACCCTAGCTCTTGTAGTGTTCGTTTCAATTGTTCTTATTTGCTTTGATTATCTTTTTACGAAGAAGCCATTATATTGTGGTTATCTCGTGCTTAACTAGTTAATCCCCAAGAGTTTGTATGACAAAAAAGTTTAGGCTTCATTGCTCATTGGACCGCCTCAAGGCCCATGCCAAGTTTGTGAGTCTGGCGATCTTGGCCTCTCTGGACGAACAACTGGGTTTGGACAATTGGGCTTTTGAGTTTGGCAAAATGGTTTCTTCTGGGCCATATGCTTTGTTCGGTTAGTTTATTTTGCTCCCATTAAATCGTGTCATAGAATATACGGATAAGGGCATTTCCATAAATGCAATTGCAAAAGAAATTGCATTTGTGTTTATTATTGTCAACTTAAATTTTTGCAATCCACATCACATTCATTTCATTCACCTACATCAATGTAATTAACTTGCAATTGCAAATGTAATTAAATATTATGTTTAAATTATAGAAAATTAAGTAAAAGAGAAAAGAAAATAATATAAAATAAAAAATTTCCATTTTTAAGGCTTTTTTGACTTGCATATGGAATTGCATTTGCTGCAAGCTTGCAAATACGCAATTGGTAGCCACATCAATGCAATTGGTTTTGGAATTGCAAACACCTATGCCATATCATTTTGCAATTGAGAATGCAATACCAATATAAATGGAAAGAATTACAATTTTCCGAGAAAACGAAGATTGAGAAAAGTCAGCAGCACAACACAAAGGGATAATGATATCAAAGCATTAAAACCAAGGTTTTCAAGCCAGTATCCACTATCCAGCCCGCCGGAACCAGTCATGTTTGGAATCGATTTTGGTTGTACAGTTATTGAAAAAAGTTAAAATTGGGTCAAATAAGTCAAAATTGATTAAGCCAGTCAAAACTTGGTGATTCGATCGGTCAATATCAGGTTAAACCAGTCAGAATCGGGTTTGAAAATGATGATTGATAATTTTGTAATATATAGTTATTTTGAAGAAATAATTTGGTAACATACTATTATAGAGTAATGAGATTGTTTTAAAATATGTCAAAAATATGTCTAATTTATTTGATACTTGAGATTTTTTCTTGAAACCGAATTGAACTAGCCGAATTCAATCCAACCATTAAATTTCAAACCACTCGTCAAAACCAACTTGATACTTAATCCAATATTCCAATTTGTAAAACATCATTAAAATCCGTCGCAATACACTCAAATTTCAAACCACATATCGTACCACCGACTAGATGACTTAATCCAATTTGTCAAGCATCATTAAACGACAGTGACCGCCGGGGTGGCTCCATCGCCATTACGCACGGGGTCCTTTGGACAGTGCGGAAGGGTCAAGGGAGGAAGGAAGGAACACGTTGGTATTTTTTTTTTTTTTATAGTAAACCATCCAACTCAGCAGCCCGCCTCTGTCTCTAATCTCTATCCTACTATTTTCCTTTTCACCGCTCAAACAAACCCAACGCAAGCTTTCTCCTTCCCCCGATCCCATTTCGATCTCAATCTAACAAACTCAAAATATAAGAAAAGAAGAAGAGGTCCTTCCTCGATTAATATCTTCATCCCAATCGGATCCATCTTCCCCCATTCCAACTCCCGGTCGCGGGCTTTCTGTGTTTCTGAATCCATTCGTGTTTTGGTTGGTGCCGGCATTAACGATGACTTCCAGGGACGACGCCGAGGAGGCGAACAACCTGAGGAAGCCATTCCTCCACACGGGGAGCTGGTACAAGATGAGTTCCCGCCAGTCCAGTATGATGGGCTCCTCCACCTACATCCGCGATGGCGCCATCTCCGTCGTCCTCTGCGTCATGATCGTCGCCCTCGGCCCCATCCAATTCGGCTTCACCGTATTCTCTCTCTCCCCCCTCCTTTTTCCTTCTCATTCGTTCCCTGCATTCTTATTCGATTCATCAGTTTTTTTGTTGAGATTTTGAGGTTTTTTTTTGTTGCCCTGCGACAGTGTGGATTCTCTTCGCCAACTCAATCGGAGATCATCAATGACCTGCAGCTTTCCATTTCAGAGGTCTTGACAGTTCTTCCGTCCCTTTTCGTGTTTTTATCTAATTGGTCATCGATATCAATTTTTGAAGAAATGTATGGTGAAAATTGATTTTTTCTTCTTCTTTACATTGGCGGCAGTTCTCAGTGTTTGGTTCTTTATCCAATGTTGGTGCGATGGTGGGAGCAATTGCTAGCGGTCAGATTGCGGAATATATTGGCCGCAAAGGGGTATTCCTCCATTCTCATTCCTATCTATTTCTGTTTATATATCCGTTTCTAATGGCGGAAGAAGGTATTCCTTTGAACATCGAGAAAAATCCTCCACGATTTGGTTGCTTGTATTAGAAGGTTTCAGTTATGGAATTGATTGCGTGAAATTTGATGCATATTTTATCTGTGCCGAAATTTGCAGTCCCTGATGATTGCCGCAATTCCTAACGTAATCGGGTGGCTGAGCATATCTTTTGCCAAAGTGAGTGATTACTCATCTTCTTCCACCCTTTTTATTTGGTTTTTGATTTCGGCTGTGTTAGCATCTCATGGATGGGGTGTGGTTTTCTTCCTTGACAGGATTCATCCTTCTTGTTAATGGGAAGGTTGTTGGAAGGTTTCGGGGTTGGAATCATTTCCTATACGGTGAGCTTGAAGCTAAAGCTAACTGGTGCCTGATTTTGGGTTGTGTTCTCGAGTGGATCTTATATTGCCCTTTCCCCCCTGTTATACAGGTGCCTGTGTATATCGCTGAGATAGCTCCTCAGAATATGAGGGGAAGCCTTGGATCTGTAAACCAGGTTGGTACTGTTCCCACATATATACTTTTCTAAATGGTTGTGGAATTAATTTACCAATTCTCTTCATATGACAGCTCTCAGTAACCATTGGAATATTGCTGGCCTATCTCCTGGGACTTTTTGTTCATTGGAGAGTGCTTGCTGTCTTGGGTGAGTCCTCAAAAATTTTAGCAGAAATTATGAGGGTTCCCTTGACTTCTGATATGCATAGTGTCTTTATAGTTGGATTCAACATTGTCAATCATCAGTCAAACAAGATCAACATTTGAGTTTCTGTTTGCAGGAAGTTTGCCTTGTATAATTTTGATACCTGGCTTATTTTTCATACCGGAATCTCCTAGATGGCTGGTATAATTTGAGACATTGTTGTTCGTATCAGCATTCCTAGCTTGCTTTTCTCGGTATACCTTTAATCAAATTCTTGTCCTGTTGGTTCCAGGCTAAAAATGGAATGGGAGAAGATTTTGAAACTTCTTTGCAAGTTTTACGAGGTTTTGATACAGACATCACTGTTGAAGTCAATGAAATCAAGGTACACAAGTCTATTAGTCTCTATTTCTATTTGGTCCCTCTTTATTGTGGTCTCAAATCAGTTTGGGATGATCCTACTCCCCTAATTTGTGTATTTGGAACCTCTGTTGGAAACGAAGGACCAGAAATAGCCATGTGGCTCAACACCTCATCTAGTTTTGACGATTGAGATGACCAATGTTTTGTGCACATCTATTGCAGAGATCTGTTGCTTCATCAACTAGACGAAATACCATTCGGTTTGCAGATCTCAGACGACGGCGATATTGGTTTCCGTTGATGGTAGACTGGTTTGTTTTGGGGATTCTGTTGGTTCCTGATGATGCTTTTCTTTGAACTTCAAACTCTGGATTGGAGATATTAACCTTTATCTGATTTCTACAGGTAGGAATTGGGTTGCTTGTTCTCCAGCAACTCAGTGGCATTAACGGGATTCTGTTTTATTCCACTAATATCTTCAAAAGTGCTGGTTAGTCTCTACTGGTTTCCTTTTGTTCCTTTCTTCAAAACATTAAGCCTTTGTTTTTAGATGGTTGTTTAATGGGTCAGCAACTTGCTTGTACCCAAATGTTTGATTAAGCCTAATTTTAGTCTGTAGCATTGTTTTGGGGGCTAAGCATGCATGACGTATTTGTGATGCCTCCAGTGAGAGGGTTAGGTGCCTGGATGTTAGTAAGTCATACTAGCTTTCTGGCCTCAGTTACGCAAGTAAGAAGACTAGGCTATGTGGACCAGTAATCTTTTGATGCTGCAAAATAGCTTCTAAATCTGCTGCTTGTATAGTACTGTTGTTTATCTGAAATATGAACCATAGGAAAGATTTCGTGAACTTCCTAGATTTTAGGACATTGGTGGTTCCTAATTTCCTTTAACTTTGTGGGAAATTTTATTGGAAAAGGAAAGAGAGCTATGATTTGTAGTGCCTATACCATTTTAATTAGTATATACCTTCGTAACCACCCTCTTTGTTTTGGGGTTTATGAAGGATTTAATTTTGTGCAAACTTGCAGGAGTTTCTTCCAGCAATCTGGCTACAGTTGGAGTTGGCGCAATTCAGGTAAATCTGTCAGGCAGTTATTGGTGTCTAGATTCCTTTTCCGGGGATATATCATGTTGTTCAAATCAATGATGGGAGAGGGGGACCAAGCTGCTAATTTCTGTTCAAACCCCTCTTGTGTTGACAGGTTGTTGCTACTGCAATCACCACATGGTTGATGGATAAGGCTGGACGGAGGCTGCTTCTCATTGTGAGTTCCTTTTAGTATTGTGGATTGAGGCTTGAAAAGGAAAATATGAAGTCAATTTCGTATAATCGATATGTGGTCCATTACTCAGATATCCACAGTCGGGATTACTCTCAGCCTACTTCTTGTTTCAGTTGCCTTCTTTGTGGAGGTTGGTGATAGTTCCTTAAACTTTGTCTACTCCATAATGAACTTCTATCCTACCCACTAGATCTCTGAATCTTTGTTTTCTTCTCGAATGTTTCAACAGAGTTCAGTACCTCCAGATTCTAGTTTGTACGGTACAATGGGAATTCTGTCACTCGTGGGCCTCGTGGTATGTTCTCGAGTTTCCTTTTGCCTGTTAACATTGTATATTTGTTGATACTCGGTCCATTTCATATTTAACAAATTACTTGTGTATTAGGCTGTGGTAATCTTCTTCTCTTTCGGGCTTGGAGCAATTCCCTGGATCATAATGTCTGAGGTACGCCAACTTTACCGTGTGTATTCAGTAAAAGAACACATGTTTATTAAGTGCTCACTCTATCTCACTCAGGGAATTTTCATTTTCCCAGATCCTGCCTGTAAATATCAAAGGCCTGGCGGGCAGTGTCGCGACACTTGCAAATTGGTTAGCTTCCTGGATGGTTACTATGACAGCAAACCTACTGTTAGGCTGGAGCACTGGAGGTATATATCGATCGATCAGTTGGTTTTTCATAAATTTTTTTGCTTCTTACAGCTTGTTTAGTGTTGTAGTGATTTACAAAATCGTTTTCATGTCATGGGAACAGGAACGTTTGCTATATACACAGTGGTGAGCTTATTCACGGTCCTATTCGTCACGCTGTGGGTTCCTGAAACCAAAGGAAGAACCCTGGAAGAGATCCAGTCCTCCTTCCGGTGAAACCAAAAACAAGTTATACTATTTGTCTGAGAATTATACTATATATCTGTGTTTTATTGAAGTAAGTATGGTTAGTCTGGGGTGGTCATTCCCTTCTTGTACGTTGTCACATGTATGTATCATATGTGTCTTCTTCCGCCCTTAAATTTTGTGGAACTAGATTTAATCATTTCCCCACTTGTTACATAGCTTAAGAAAGCAAAAACGAAGTGAACGGCTATTTGCCGCCAAGCAAATTGCTATTTGCCGCAAAAAAAAAAAAAAAAAAAAAAATTTGAATTCAAATTTTGAATTTTCCCTCCCTTCCCTTCCTTTCATTCTATAAATTCGGATACCCATGAACATTTGACTCATTCCAACAAAAACTTCTGTTGACGAGCCCAGTGCCTCCGTCGCCGGCACCGTTCTTCCATCGTCGGCTAACCTCCCGTCGCCCTCAATCGTCGGAAAACAAGTAAGTTTATTTTTTCCGGCCAGTTTTCCAGTTTTCCGGCAAGTTTTCCAGTTTTCCGGCGAAAAACAGGGCGGGCCGAAAAAAATTTGCGGCCGGAGCGTCGGCCGGCCGAAAAAAATTTTCGGCCGGTGCGACGGCCGGCCGAAAAATTCTTTCGGCCCGGCGACGCCGTGGCCGCAAATTTTTTTCGGCCGGTCGCCGACCTCGCCGCCCAAAAAATTTCCGGTGGCGTGTTCGTCGGCCGGCCGAAAAAAATTTGCGGCCGCGGCGTCGCCGGGCCGAAAAAAATTTTCGGCCGGTGCGACGGCCGGCCGAAAAATTCTTTCGGCCCGGCGACGCCGAGGCCGCAAATTTTTTTCGGCCGGCCGACGAACACGCCACCCAAAAAATCTTTCGGCCCGGCGACGCCACGGCCGCAAATTTTTTTCGGCCGGCCGACGCTCCGGCCGCAAATTTTTTTCGGCCCGGCGGCGCACCGGCCGCAAAATTCTTTCGGCCCGGCCAGTTTTTGTATTTAATTTAATTTAATACGATAATTAATTAATAAATAAATAAATACTTAATTGGTTAGTAGAAATTAGCAATTAGTGTTAATATTTATTTCAGTTGGTTTATAAATGTTTTTTTTTGTAATAGGCGTTTGAATGTTTAATTACTTAGATTAGTTAATGGAATTTTAATTAATTAAGAATTGATTAATTAGTGCGCATCTAAGTATGATATTTTGTAAATTTGTAGATAATTAGATATGGATGATGCGGGTCATGCGGGTGGGGATGAGTTGAATAGATTCAATGGTAGGGTTGTTGATGTATCAGCACGAAGGAAGAATAAGGAGAATAAGCGCTCTCGAGATATTGGACATCAGTCACAGGCAAATTTAGGGGAGGATGAGTTAGAGGCTCCTACTGTAGTTGCTCGTTCGGCATCACGGGCGTCTGGTTCCCATGGGAGGAACCAGGGTGCTGCATCCAGAGTGGTCTCGGCTGAGTTTGATGAGGACGATAGTGATGAGGATATCGAGGTCCCTCCACCTACGCGTGGACATGGACGAGTGTCGTCTCGTACGGCAACATCACGTCCTGCTTTGTATAGGGACCGAGCTGGGCGCTTCGTACCACCTGCTCGTCAGGAGACAGAGAGCTCGGGGACTGGACGGAGTAGGGGAGGACGTTCGAGTGGTCCTCCACCGTGGGAGCTTGTTGGTGAGTGTCCTGGTGGACCTACGGATCCTAGCCTCATTAGGAGCTTTCGTGGACACGTTGCCTATGCGCTTTGGACGGGGGCTGGAGATCGAGGGGTCATCAGTTGCTACAGCCGTACATCGGCGGTTGCTTATTTGAGTAGCTACGTGTTTAGTCATGTTGAGGCGGAGAATCTGGTTCAGCAGTCAGGTCTCCAGCACCTGATGTACTCTATGTTCCGCAGGATAGCGATTGACGATGCTTTGATCTCAGCTTTTGTGGAGAGGTGGCAGCCAGACACGAACACCTTCCACTTGCCTTTTGGAGAGATGACGATCCTCCTACACGATGTTCAGTACTTACTGCAGATTCCTGTTGAGGGACGACTGATGAGTAGGAGTTCTGCGCAGCTTGACCATCCGGAGGCGGGTTTGTGTACGCTTCTTGGGATGAACTGGGAGCAGTTGAGTGGTCGTACGGAGGTCCCTGGATATAATAATAGGGGTAAGTGGTACGAGAAGGGTGGTTTTCTTGCAGAGATGAACTGGGAGCAGTTGAGCAGTAAGACGCCTAAAGTGTTCTCGTTGAAGCTCAATTTCATCACTGACTTGTTGTTGACGTGGGGGGTTTTTATAATCCAAAGTCCGCCAAAATACATGCAACTCTTGAGCATAGAATTGACGTCCTTCTTCCTTAGCTTGAACAATCTGGCAAGCACACTTGAGCCCATGTGTCATCTGAAAATGACACGCACAACTGTCCTTCAACTCCGCCGCCCCATCTAACATCAGTTTGATTGCCTCAGAACTAACGACCCTCCTCAAAAACGTGCACGGAGCCTCAATTGCCCTACTCAGATTGCGGTTCAGTGACTTGTGCAGTTCATTCACCACTTCCAGAAACTGATGTTCCATGTAGTTGTGGTTCTTCGCAAAACAAGTGTCGATCGCTCCTCTACCAGACACAAGGAAAGTCTTGAATGAAGAGTGAGATGACTCAACTCTATTCGAGCTCGTGTTACCAAGATGAAACACATGGTTCGTGTAGCACATTGCCCACATTGTCTGATGAGGCAACCACTCACCTCGCACGTAGTCGACCATTTTTTTGTTCTTCACTGTCCAGACCCTCTCAAACTCATTAATCTTTTGAAGAAAACCCTCCTGAGTCCAACTCCATGCAGCTTTGTCGAAATATTTCTTCCATACCGCATGTGCTACCTCTCTTTTTACAATTCCACCAAGTAACACTTCAAACTTTTGCTTCACACAGTTGTTGACGTGCCATAAACATAGTAGGTGGACAGTATGTGGGAGAGGGAAGACCACAGGAATAGAAGCAAGCAAACCACCTTCTTTGTCTGTCACAATGACATTCGGAACCGTATCACCGAGCAACCCTTTAATACATCGCAGCAGCCACTCATATGTTTCCTTTGTTTCCTGCTTAATAATTGCACATGCAATGTTGAAATTCTTCTTCACTGGAGTAACCCCAATAATCTCAACCCATGGCCAGCCGTACCTGTTGGTCTTGTAGGTCGAGTCAATGAGGATGACGTACGGCCATGCATGCAACATCTGAATGGACGTCGGGTGCGCAAAAAACAGATTAGTGAGCACATTATTAGAGTCCTTTTGCAAACAGATATGGTACCCACGATGTTCAGCTCCGTGAAGCGCAAACTGTATCGCATCCATTTCACCCATCTCATCCAATCTTGTCTTGGAATTTATGTTGTACATCTGTTTGATATCATGATGCACACCCCCTTCAGTATTGAGTGTCGTCTTCTGCTGATTTGGTCTCACCCCCGCCTTCCTCATTAATCTTAACCTCTCTTTTTCAGCCTCACTAAACTGTTTGTTGTGTCGGTGATGTTCTGGATACAACACCTTTTCATGGTTGTGAAACCCTCTATTAGCTCCGGTTTCACGACTTGTCACTCCCACCATGACCCATGTGTTTGGACCATCCTTTTGCCATACTTCCTTTATACATATCTGAAACTGGCAACCAGTACCCTTCGAACTAATATTCTCACGCGTCTCCTTCGTAGGGTCTGGTTTATAAGACTTAACGATCCTACTACTTCTGTCGCAATACATACAGAGGGCAGTAACAGGATTCTGTCCAGCAGTATTCGGTTTCCATGATCCTCTAACAATAAAGAACCCACACTGCTGAGCGATTGTTCTTGCAGCTAACTCAGCTAACTCCACACTTGCATAATGGATCCCATTCTCAAATTCATGTGTGTAATCATGATCGGCCGGTAACAACTCTGACATTTTTCCTACAATTACAATATAATATATCAATATTCCTGTGAACCTAAACGCTAATTTCAATTCTTAACCGCTAAATTCAACTCCTAAACTCTAAATTCAATTCTTACACGCTAAATTCAACTCCTAAACTCTAAATTCAACTCCTAAACTCTAAATTCAACTCCTAAAATCGAATTTTTCCGAAAAATTGCAAAAACAGACTGTGAGCCGAAAATTTCCGGCGGCCGGAACCTGGCCGGGCCGAAAATTTCCGGTGGCTGGAACCTGGCCGGGCCGAAAATATCTTGCGGCTCAGCCTGGTTCCGGCCGCCGGAATTTTTCGGCTCGGCCAGGTTCCGGCCACCGGAAATTTTCGGCCCGGCCAGGTTCCGGCCGCCGGAAATTTTCGGCCCACTGTCTGTTCGTTTCAAATCGTCGGAAAAATTGTTCGAAACTACAAAAAAATTACGCACCTGCTTAGTGATGATTCATTGATGCGTGTACGCAGTATATGTCGAGGATAGGCTTTCCCGATGATTTTCCGGCGACTTTTCCGGCGAGCGTTGAATTTTTCTGATTCAATATGTTCTCTGAAAGTTGGATATGTTGTAGATTGTGAAACTCCTTACCCTACTATGTATATATATACTTATTTTTTTTTTATTTTTATTTTTTGGTTGGCGGCAAATAGCAATTTGGTTGGCGGCAAATAGCAAGCCCCAAAACGAAATGTAAAAAACGAAGTGAAAAGCATTCATTAATTTGACATTTTTTATCCAGATTGTTCAGAGAAGTTGAAGGAGGACAAGCAAGTTTCTAAGTAGGAAGAAAGAATCAATCAACAATATGCACTCATTAATATGGGTGCTACATTTGTAATCTGTGATCACTGAGTCATTGTCTCGATGCTGTTGTTGTTGTGATCGTCGTTTGTCGTCAGTGATCACTGAGTGGTCTTCGTCTCGCTGCTGCTGTTGTTATCGGCGTCATCCTGATGCAGCGATTCCAGGATCTTGTTGAGACACTTGTTGTAGGCGCAGGGGCGTTCCAGGTGAACCAGATGCCCTGCTTTGCTTATGCTTTCAACTGTTGCCTTCTCTCCCAATTGCCTGCGATTAAGTTGCCACAAAGCCAAGAAGGAAGAGCAACACAGTGCAAAAAAACGTCAGCATCAGGCAGGAGAGTCCATGTTTTTGTTAATTAAAGACCAAGAGAAGAAAAGATTTGCATACTCCTTCATGTTGTGGGCAAGCTCTAGCTGGAAGATCTGATCATTCTCTCCCCACAGGAGATGTATCTTCTGCAATATTCGACAGCAAGCACGTTAACACACGAGTCGTCAAACATACATTGTTGCACGAGATTGAACATCAAAACCTACCTGTCGGAAGTTGGGAATAGTTGTGTCTTTGTTGCTGATGACCAGCCCTTCCAGGAGTTCGCCTCTTTCCTTCCTGTTACCGAACATCACCTGCAAATTTTGTTGCAGAATAATTAGACACTAAAAAACCGACCCACGAATCCAGCACAGTATAAGTTTACCCAGTCAGCCAGAGCAGTTGGGCTTTTAGGTGGGTGACGAACGATGTATCAATGTAGCTGGCCAACCCAACTAACTTTTCCTGACCGTTTCTTGTACTAGAGAATCATGAATACGAGGTGCTTGTCTTGTCTGTGATGGACTGATGGGAACACTATTAACATGTTTTGCCTTATTTGGCAGCTTACTCACTCAAACAAGAAACCTCTATGCTCTGCCTCTGAATAACAATCCATAAAAGTACTCAGAGACAAGAAGTAGTAGGTGAGCTACTACAGTTTGCACAAAATGGCAACTTTGTCTTGCAGTACACAAGATTTCCACTAATACGGCTTCAGCCTACAGCTCTTACTGACTAACTAGTAACTATATATGGTTAGTGGCTCGATTGTGAATCTGCTGCTCTGTAATTTCCCTTTTTTTGACAGTGAGTTACCTTCCATGGCATGCCAGAATCATGCAATAAGACAAGACTAGATTTTTATGGTTGGGAAAAAGAAAAAAAAAATCATTTTCACACTAATCTTTAAGAATCGTGGCTTAAGGCTCATCATCCATCCATTCCCTTGGTGGTCAAGTTTGAGCAATAACTGCAACCTCTACCTAAACCTCTTACTTCTGCTACTCTATAATTTGCTTTCATTATCCCCAAAACATGCATTGAATTCCATCTGACAACTGACAAGTTCCCATAAGAACTTCCATTCACGCCTCAAAATCATCTATGTATTATGCAACACTTTCAACCGGCCGGTCCACCCGGTTTGACCTAAATCTGGTGAGAAAAATTGGCGGACACACACTCGTTGGTCAATCCACAACAACATTCCTGGATTGGACGTCACACGTCGTTGTTTTTCGGTTTGTGAAATAAGTTTCCTTTTCGATTTTCTTCTTCGCATAGACCTATGTTTAGTATTCCAAATTAAAACATTAAAATATTGATGATGTTATATGCGCGTGTTTGAATTTATCACTATATGTTGGACCCAAGTTAAGAACTTTTATTTTGGTGTAATACTCTATGTTATTATCTATACGTTATATGAGATTTGGTAGAATTTATACATATGTATGAAATTTTTTTTTTCTTCATATATCCGAGTTAAATCAGACTAAATTAAATGATCGGACCATGAACTCTCAATCCATTTACTCGACTGAACCGACGAGCTAAACCAAGTTGACAAACTTGTTAACATGAAGAAATATATTTTAATAATTAATAAGTGGCAAGTAAATGACCCACGAACCTCGAGGAAGTCCTTGTGAAGGCGGTCAGGGAACCAGAGCTTCTTGTGAGCAGCAACCGATAACAGGGCCTTCAAGCCCTTAACCGAAGTGGGCAGCAGCAGCTCGGACGACGACTTGAACCCGATCCGGCCCAGAGTCTCGACGCTGATCGAGTCGGTCATGGCCAGGATCGAACCGGAAACCACCATGGCCCGAACCATCTCTGGGTAGAGCTCCGCCATCTTGAACGCCACCATGCCGCCGTAGCTGAACCCGACCACCGTGCACCTCTCCACCCCGAGCTTCCTCAGCCCCTTCACCAGCGTCTCCGCCTGGAACCTCGGCGACCGGTCGGCGCTGTCGGAGACGGAGCCGCCGAAGAAGAGGAGGTCGGGGACGTAGACGGAGTAGTTCTTGGTTAGGGCTCCAACCTGGAACTGCCACGTCACTATCCCCTCGCCGGCGAAGCCGTGGACCAGCACCACCACGGGCTTCGTCGGCTTTTTTAGGGTTACTTCGGCCTTTTCTGATTCCTGTTGTTGTCGTTTTGTGGGTTTGGGGATGGTTTCGACGGGGACCCAGAAGTTCATCACGGTGCCGGGCTCTATCTCCACGGTATGGGTTTTGACGCCGGCCATTTTCATCAGGAGGTTCAGCAGCGGCTTCTGCGCTGCTACCAAGTTCACCATTTTTTTTCTTCTCTTCTATATATGTATATATTTTGAGATCGATCTTTTTTCTTCTTCTTCTCTCTCTTTGTTTTTGGGTGGGATGGGAATGGAAAGATGGAGGGAATGATTTGGGGTTTTATTTATAGTGGGATAAAGAAGGTTTGGTACTGCATGGTGGTTATCTGCTGCATGCTATTGAATGTGGGGTTTTTGGGAATTAGGAATGGGATTTTTGTATTAGTGTATTATTATTATCTGACAAACAGGCAATTGCATGATGAGCAGACTTGTGGGCTGCCATTTTGCTTATTATTGGTGGTGGCAAATTTATTACTCATAGTTATATGGTAGAGTGTGTTTTGCATATGACAAAGGATAGTGTACGTTTGACGTATAATATATGGTTGTACTCATAGTTATATGTAATTTGATATACTTTGATGAATTATAACGCGGTCGGTTGTTATTTTTATATTTAAATGATTTTTATGATTTGAATTAAAATATGAGGAGATAAAGTTCATTCATTAAAAAGTTAGAATATAATATCATACGGTAACTCTAATTAAATCATGATTTAAATATAAATAGCAATATATATGATTAAGATTACCGTAAACCTGGCATTCTCATGATAATAGTTGTAATGAAATTTGCCACAAGAGACAAGAACATAAAACTTGGATTAATTACTTTCCTATCAATACTAGTAAAATATTCAATACTAATAAAATATGCCTCAATTAATAAATTTATTGAATCATTTTAATAAGCCTTTTCGACCAACCATACAACCAAAGTAGATAACCTCCTGCTGCCTGTAACGAATTCCTCTCTATATTTAAAAAATGCCCCCATACTTTCTTGCACGAAATCTTTCTGTAATTAATTTAAGGCCACAAACTTGCGGGCTTTCTCATACTTGACCTATATCTTTTGTATTTTCTTCGTTGTTCATTGATGAATTGCTTATCTTGGTGACCCCTATTCCGAATACAACGTTGTTTAATTGTTGGGAGATTTGATCAACTGCCACCACCTACCTACCTTCCAACTCGTATCCATCTGATCATCTCAGCTGGTTGACATTTCAATTTCTAATTGGTCTGGCCTTTCCATTTCCATATCATTATTGATATTGATTATCGTAATCACCCTTAACTGTGTTCAAATTGATTCTCCCTTGTCAATTTCTTCTCACTATAATTTACTTTCTCAAGCATCTTACTATTAGAATTATTAAACCTAGCTGTCAAAAAATTTCACAAACCAAAATTTACTTACGAAAAAATCGCGTCTCATTGTTCACAAAGAGGGCTGGGTGAAATAAAAGATTGCGAGTCGATCAATTTTGCTTTGACCTCTCTCTTCTTTCTCTCTCCTTCTCGCCTAGCTGGTGGAACTCATTCAATGGCATGGACGCGTCAGAGCCGGCGAACTGGGCTTAATTATTTGGAGTGGGGGAGGGGAACCGACTTCGCTACGTTGCTCCATATCTGGTAGATAGTGAATTAGTCATCCCTCGGGCGGTTCACGATAAGGGAGTGGTTCGATGGCGGAATGATCTTGTTGGCTAGTTTCTCTCTGAAGCACCTTCGATTGCTACAATTAGTCGATGGGCTCAAAGATTATGGGGAAGAGATGGTAGGGTTTATGTCTCAGTATTTGGTATGAATATGTTTTAATTCCAATTTGATAGTATGGAAACGAGTAACTAGGTGTTTGAAAGCGGGCCTTGGAATTGCGAAAAAATACCACTATTCCTTCGTAAATGGGTTCCTGGTATTCAGTCAATCAAGGTGGATGGTACTAAGTTACCGATCTGGGTTCGTATCAGGGAGTTGCCGTTGGAGTATGTGACAATGGAGGGTTTGAGTAGGGTGGCTAGCTTGCTGGGTTCACCATTATGGATGGATCAAGCGACTATGTTGGGTGGTCAAAAATGAGTACTGTTAAGCTGTGTATTGAGATGTCGGCTGATTCCTTTTCCCATAAGAACTTCGAATTCGGTCTGAGGGAGAGGAGCAAATTAATATGTTTGTTCACTACCTCCATGCTCCAGTTCACTGTGAGTAGTGCGCAGAGTTTGTACATCAGATAGGGAAAGGAGCTAAGTGTGGAAAGTCTACAGGTGTTGTTGTGGAGAATTCTCAGGTTGCCCCACATAGTGTGGTTGTGGAGATTCCTCAGGCTGCTTCAGGGGAGGTAAATGGTGAGAATGTTACTAATACAAGTGCAACTGTCTCAGCCCAGGTTTTATCTAGAGGTGTAGCTAGCCCTGTTGCCACTCCACAGGGAAGTACTGTTGTAGGGCGTCTGGTTGTAGATGTAGATATTGCTAGTTCTTCTACTCCACTAGTTAAGAGTGGCCCTTCTCTAGATGCTGATGGCTTCCAGCTGGTGGTTAAGAAAGGAAAAGCTCCAGTACAATCAGGGTGTGTTGATCAAGGAAGTGGGGTGAGAATTCAGGAGTCAGTTGTTTAAACTAGAGTGCCACTGAAGTCAAAGGGTTTTAACTTAGTTTTTCATGCCTCTCCAAAAAAGCGAGGAGGTTAGAAGAGGCGGTAAATGAAGTTGCTAAGTTGGAATCTCAGGGGATTTAACTCTCCTGAGAAACATAGGTACATGAATAAACAAGTTATAAAGTTAGGTCTAGATTTCTTTGCAATACTAGAAACTAGAGTGTTAGAAAACAATGTTGATGATATAGTAAATAGATAGTTTAGTGGTTGGACTCATTTGAATGACTATAATTATTACAATGGGAGAGTTTGGCTGTTTTGGAAACCATCATTGCAAGTGGCGGAGAATGGTATGGGGAAGCATTTCATTCATGTTCGAGTTCAATCGAGTATAATCTTGTGTGGTCACTACAATTTATGGTCCTGATAAGACAGTTGTGAAGGAATCAAGTGATTAATAAGCCTGGGGTCTTTATTGGTGATTTTTAATGATGTTACTAACATCTCAGAAGCTTCTAATAGGCCTGATTGGAATCAGAGTATGGGAGATTTTAGGCAATGGATACTTGAGATGAATCTGACTGATCATAAAACTATAGGCTCTTCGTTCACCTGGTGGAACAAGCAGTCTAATAAACCGATTGCTCAAAGGATTGATAGTGCCTTGGTGAATGATTTATGGCTGGAGAAGTTTAAGGATGGCTTGATTCGAACTTTGTCCCCTAGAGTATCTGATCATTGTGCTTTGTTTGTGCACACTAATCCTTTAGCAACCTCATTGTCGAAGCCTTTTAAATTCTTTACATTCTTGAGGCAGCATCCTCAGTATCATAGTATGTTGGAGGAAGCTTATCAAACTGAAGTGGCTGGAGTTCCTTATTTTAAATTGTATAAGAAGTTGAGAAGTATGAAACTAAAGTTGAAGGGCTTCAACGAAATCCAATTTTCTGAGATCTCTTTGCAAGCAAGGGAGGCTGAAGCTAAACTTGAAGTTCTACAGAGAGTAGTGGTGGATGATCCATCATAGAAGAACTGAAAGGATGCCTTGGAGCAGGAAATTATATGTAAAGATTTGCACAAGGCTGAGGAGAACTTGTATAGAAAGAAGTACACAATACAAAGGATTATTGAAGGTGATGCCAACACTAAATTTTTTCATAGTATAGTCAAAGCTCAGAATCACAAGAAAACTATACAGAAGTTGATTAAGATTTAAGGATAATGGTGAAGTTGTTACAGAGGTTAAGGCTATGGGGCAGATTGCACTAATTTTTTACAAGAGCTTGTTGGGTAGAGCTGATCCACTTGTGCAGGATACTCCTGTAACTTTCTTTGAAGACCTGCTGGTTCATAAGCTTAATGAAGATGATGCGGTTTTATTGTCCTCTGTTGTGACAAGAGAGGAAATCAAGAAGATATTCTTGGCTTATGGGAAATGACTGCAGAGTTCTTTAAACTTGACTGAGCTGTGGTTGGGAAGGAATTTGAGGATACGGTGCTGGAGTTTTTCAGAACAGGTATCATGCCAAGGTAGGTGAATTCTACTATTCTTGCTCTTATACTAAGCTATCTGTAGTGGATAGAATGCAGAATTTTAGACCAATTCCGTGCTGTAACGTTGTCTATAAAGGGATCTCAAAACTCTTAGCTAATAGACTATCCCTGGTCTTGCTTAAGATTATCGCGGACAGTCAATCTGCCTTTGTTAGAGGGAGCTTATTAGTGATAACATTTTTATGGCAACAAAATTGGTTAAAGATTAACATAAAACAACCATTTCTTCTAGATGTGCGTTTAAGATATATTTGGAAGGCATTCGTCTCTGTTGACTGTAAGTTTTTGTTAAAAGTCATGGCTGTTATGAATATACCACTCATTTTTGTTAAGTTGATTGAAGCTTGTATAACTTCACCTATGCCAAGTATTGCTTTCAATGGGGGACTCTGTGGATACTTTTTAGTAGGTAAGGGGTTGAGGCAAGGGAATCCATTGTCTCCTTACCTCTTCACCATTACCATGGAAGTCTTCTCATGTATGTTAGCCATGGATGTTGCTATTAATTCTATTCCTTATTATCTTAGATGTAAAGGTTTGGAAATTACACATCTCTGCTTTGCTGATTATCTCCTAGTTTTATCTAATGGTTCCATCAGAGATGGAGCTGGGATATAGAGGCTGTTGGACAAGTTCTATTTGCTTTCTGGGCTTAAATTCAACGTGTCTAAGTGTCAGATATCTCGTGCTGCTATTTCTAAGGAAGAGCAGCGAGCTATTTCAGATTATACAGGGTTCCCATTGGGTGAATTACTCTATGGAAGTTATCAGCTCATTTTGGTGGAGAAAATTACCAAAAGAACTACTACGTGGCAGGCTATAACGCTTAGTTATGCTGGGAGACTGCAACTAATCTCATAAGTGATAACAAGTGTTTTCCAATACTAGATGTCGGTTTTTCTTATACCATTGCAGGTGATAGAAGAAGTCTACAACAAAATTTTATGGGGAATAGGTACTGATAATGGGAGGAAGAGAGTTCCCGTAGCATGGTCAAAGGTTTCTCTATTAAAACAAGATGGGGGCTAGGGATCAGGGACTTTAAGACATGGAATAAGGCTTGCATTACCCGCCATCTCTAGAACTTGCTTGTT